GGGGATGGGCAGTGGGGCAGTGGGAGGGACGCGGGGCGGGGCTGTGGGGACACGGAGAGGGGACAGGGGACACAGCCCACCCTGTGGGGACACGGAGAGGGGACAGGGGTGACCCCAGGGGACAGGGCAGGGTCATGCGGGGGGTGGCACAGGCTGGGACACGCAGGGGACACGGTGGCACCTGCCGTGCCCAGGTCCGGCTCCTCCGGGGCTCCCCAGCGCTGCCCGGCCGTGCCAGCCTCGCCCGGCTCCGCCTGCCGCTCCAGCGGGGCCGGCTCTTCCCCGGGACCCCGCGACGCCAGAGGGGCCGGCTGGGACACCTCTGTCCCTGTCACCCGCGGGTGGCACCCCGGGGTCACCTTGGGCACCCCGTGGCCACCACCCCTGCTCCAGCAGCCACCCCGTGGTGGGGGGACCGACCCTGCACCCCCTGTCCCGTCCCTGTCCCTGTTCCAATCCCAATTCCCAAACCACAACCCTCAAACTCCAAGCCCAAACCCCAAACCTCAAAAACCCCAAATCCAATCCCCAAGCCCTTAACTCCAATTCCCAAACCCCAAATACAGCAATTCCCAAACCCCAAACCCAAATCCCAAAAATCCAAACCCCCAAACTCCAATTCCCAAACCCCAAAAACCCCAAACACAAAAACCCCCAAACCCCAAAAATCCAAATCCCCAAACTCCAATTCCCAAACCCCAAAAACCCCAAACCCCAAAAACACAAACCCCGAAACTCCAATTCCCAAACCCCAAACCCCAAAAACCCCAAAAACCCCAAACCCTAGAAACCCCAAACCCCCCAAACCCCAAAAACCCAAACCCCCAAAACTCCAATAACCCCAAAAACCCCAAAACCCAAACCCCCAAAAACCCCCAAAACCCCCAAACCCCCAAAAACCCAAAAAAACCCCAAAACCCCCCAAACCCCCCAAACCCCAACCCCTTACCTGCTCCCAGCGCCGGTGCCGCCAGCATCGCCAGCTGTGCCAGCAAGCATGCCAGGCGTGCCAGGCGTGCCAGGCGTGCCAGCGGTGTCAGCCGTGCCATCTGTGCCGTCTGTACCACCCGTGCCACCCGTGCCAGCTGTGCCAGCTGTGCCAGCTGTGCCAGCTGTGCCACCCGTGCCGGTGTCCCGCGCCGCGGCCGCGCGGGCTCCGAGCGCCGCCGCCGGGGCCGGGCCGGTTTTTATGCGCCGGGAGCGGGGCCGGAGCCGCGCCAGGAACGGGCCCGGCCCGGGCAGCGCCCGCGGCTCCTCCGCGCGGAGCCCCCGCGGCTGCGGAAACCGGAGACGGCGGGAATGCGGCGGGAGGGAGCGAAAACACGGCGGGGAAAGACGGGGGATAATGGAAATCCGGGGGAAATGAGAATACGGGAGGAGTGGAAATCCAGGGGAAATAATGGAAATCCAGGGGGAGTGAAAATACAGGGGAAATGAAAATACAGGGGGGGAATAATGGAAATCCAGGGGGAGTGAAAATACGGGAGGAATGGAAATCCAGGGGAAATGAAAATCCAGGGGAAATGAAAATACAGGGGGG